TGTGTTAATTATTGAAACTGTCCTACCAATTTGGTTTGAAACTGTCTCATTGCTATTTGTTTCTCAATAAAATTATGGAAAAAAAAAAGAAAAAGAATTAAAAAAACTAAAGCAATTAAACAGCCCAATCAAGAAACTTGCAGTGTAAAAAGAAAAAAAAAAAGAAACTCGCAGTGAATAAACAGGTCCTTCTCAAAAGAAGTCCAAATGGCTAATAATACGCAAACATGTTCAGCATCTTTAGTCAGGAGGGAAATGCAAGCCCAACTATACTGCTGCTTCCTCTCACTGCAGTCAGAACGCCCGTCATCAAGAAGACGGAAACAGTAAGTGCTGGCAAGGATGCAGGGGAAAGGGGGCCATCCACACAGCACAGGTACAGCCCCCATGGGACCTACTTGAGGTTTCCCAAAACAAAGGAAATGAAGCCAGCTGCCTCGCTCCTGGTATTTACTGGAGGAGCTGGCGGACCACAGGAGCCTGCACACCCATGTCCACTGCAGCACAAGGACAAGTCTGTCACTTGCTGGGAAATGGATGGGACTAGGGAAGTAAGCCAGATTCAGACAAAGATCCCACGTTCTTCCTACTGTGTGGGATCTAAAAAAGTGAACATCAGAGTGGAAGGGAGACCACAAGTAGACAAGAGAAAAGGAGTGAGGGAAGGAGAGAGTCTGAGGAGGGTTAGGGGACTGACATGAACAAAATGTGCGCAATGACATAGGGCATTCTGCGAAATGGCACTATGTAATAGAAGGGCCAGGGAGATAACTCAGTGGCGTAAGAACCTGCCCGCCACACGGCTAACTTCATCATCTGTACTATACTAAATTTGTTTCCATATTATCACATCATATAAATTGCTGTTAAAATTAAGAGAAGGTATTTCTGGGCAAAGGAAGTTGTACCCATAAAACCCTAAAGGAGTGGCAAGACTGAACCCAGAGTGCTGGCCCTGGGTGGGAAGGGGCTGTGGGCAAGCCTGGCTTCTCATCAGCTGTTGTGGCTCAGGTCTTCATGGCCCCCAAAGCCTCCTGCGCTCCTGGGCTTTTCAGAGGCGGCTGGATGGAGTGCGGCGGACACTGGTAGGCTTGAGAGTGGAGTGAACAATGACTACATTAGCTCCCGATTGGTTTGGCACGGTTCTGGGTGGGGAAGACAGGAAGGCCACCCTGGGAGTGCGTGCTGCCCCCTAAGCGCGGGTAGCATGCACAGAATATTGATAGGTTTTCTCAGAGGCACAATAAAGAGATAGGAAAGGAAAGGACGCCTTTAGTAAGGCCACAGCCCCGGAGAGGATCGAGGGCAGGTGGGGCAGGTAGTCCTCTGGGCTGAGACAGAGAAAGCCGAGGCGCCTGTGGACTTCTGCTAAGGGTGGGGCTGGAGGGGATGTTTAGAAATGTCTGGGAGCTGACTGGGTCTTCCCTGTGGCAGCTGGAAAGGTGGAAGGAAACTGCACCCTGGGCTGGGCTGGAGAAGCAGTGGGGAGGCGGTCTCTGCGAGGATAAGCTGCTGTTTTAAGGGCTTCAGCCGTATCAGAGGACCACCACAATAATCCAGCAGTTTACGCTAGGGCCAGCACCTGTCAGTACAAGGGACTGAAGGAAGACAGGCCAGCTGCTGCTGTTTGCCATCTCACTGCTTTGCCGCCTTCTGTCCAGCACCAGCTGCATCCCCTCTGCCAGGCCTTTTTGCCCTGGAGCCAGCCAACGATGGACTGAGACCTCTATAAACTGTGAGCCAAAATAAACCTTTTCTCCCCTAATTTGTGGGTGTTCGGTATTTTGTCTCAGCAGCAAGAAAATGTAACTAAGACACCATCCATCCTCAAAGGTGGCGTCTTGTGTGCGAGAGCCTACAATCACCACACGGCTCACTTGGACAGGTGGAAGTAGCTCATCAACACCATGCTCAGCAACCTGTGCAGGGGCTGCACAGAAGTGGGGATGCCTGTGGTTGGGCTGTGTCCACAGCTTTCTCAGAAGCCAACAGAAGGCTGCAAGCAGAGCATACAAAGCAGCCTGGCCCTCCCTCCTGAAGGCACTGGAATGGGGTCTGCAAAGGAAGAAGACACCTCCCTTGACATGGGGTTGAGTGAGACAAGAAGGAAAGTGAGGCCAAGCCCAGAGGCCAAGGACACCCTGCACAGGCAAGAACAGAAGGGGCCAGCTTGCATGGGGGATACCTCAGGACCCAGGTGTCCAACCTAAGAATCTTTTAGTCCCTGCACTAAACAGCAAAACCCTTTCTATAACCCAAGACCCACAACTTCACTACTTCAACACAGAGCCAACAGGAAAAACTGAGCCAGATGTTGTGCCACACACGTCTTCAGACTCAGCTGGGTGCTTCTGGCGAGGCTCAAAGGTGATAGCACACTGCTACGGCTCAGTGACATGCAGGGCCAGCCCAGCCAGTGGACTGAGGTCAGAGATGGGACAGGAGGCCCAGCGCAGCTCAGAAAAGCTAATGAGCACAGCATCAACTGACACAAGGCGACAGGTCTACCTTCTCTTTGTGCCTCCACAGCTGAGTCTTCAGGATGGGAAACTAGAAGGGAGGGAGAGGCCGAGGGACAGCCTCACACGCAAGGAGAGCAGGCGAGGCTGCATACTCGGAGGGCCGTGGTGAGGCAGGCCCCAGCTGGGCCAGGACGAGCCTCACCTCTATGAAGGGCCGCGCAATCTTGGGCGCGATGGTGTCGCTGACAGAGGGCTCCTGGGACAGCACGACAAACTCCTCCGCTTTCACCGGAAAGCCAGCATCGTCCAGGGGGGAGCAGACCTCAAACAGCTCCTGGATGGTACGCTGGACACAAGGAGAAACACTGTTCCCAAGAGCAGAGAGGACCTCCTGCCTGAGCCCAGGCCTCACAGGCCTCCCTGTGCACCCTCTCTCGCCCAGAGCACACAAGGGTACCTGAGTGAGAAATGCCATGGAGTAGTCATTTCCCTGGGCAGCCACTTCACGGATCAAATCTTTAGTTCCATTTTTCAGCAATTTCTCCTCAATGGAATTGCCACTCACAAGCCTACAAAACACAGACAGATACACACACCACACAATGACAATACTGTCACTGAAGGATGGGTTCCACGCAGTGCTCAGTGTGCCACACCCACTCGGCCATCCCCACCCCTCCACTCCAGCACCAACACAGGTACAGTCCCCTGCCACCCCCAACTGGATGAGGCCTATTTGCTCCTGCCAGGCACACCATGCCTCTGACCCCGGGATGGATTCAACAGTTTCCGTGTTCATGCTGCCTGCCTACATTTCCCTCTTGCCTGAGGATGGGTAATGTCATCTTTTGATCCCCTACATGCTGACAGACCACAGTCGGTGCTGACATAAGACAGCTGACAGACAAAAGTACTGACGAAGTCCTTGGACAGAAGGACCCAAATGGGTACCTCATAGTTTACAACCTTCCCACAAGGCTTGTTTTCTCATAAAATGCTAAGTGCTAGTGGTCTACGTCACACACTTTAATCAGTATTTCACATGCATGAAAAGAACATTTTCATCTTAAATTTCCAAAAATCAAGATGCCTACACAGAAGTAAGGCAAAAAACAGCATCGGACCCTGATATACGGAGAACTACAGAGCCAGCAGCAAGCCATTTGCACACTGATTACTGAAATTACCCGCAAAGCCGCCCTATGTGATCCACACATCAACTGGGTGATGGAGTGTGCTGACAGGCTGCTTTTTTGCTGGCCACATTCTCATCGCGGCCATCTGCTGCCCCTTCCCTAACCCAGGGCTGATGTAAAGGCTGGCAACCTCATGCATGCCACCAGCGCGCCATGTCTGCCTCACTACAAGTGGATCCCCATTCTGCATCCCTTAAAAGCAGCCTGCCAGAGAACTGCACTTCAGACGAACTTGCCTTCCTGCTGCAGCACAACCCAGTGGTACAGCTGAGCCCAAAAAAGGCTCTGGCTGTGTCACACAGACAGACCTGGGTCAGACATCCGAACACCACAGGACAGATGTCCTGGTGTGCTCAGGTTGCAGCAAAGGATGTATCACTTCAATTTCACTAAGCTTTTGCCACACTCTTCAGCGGGGCCAAGAGAATCCCCACCCTGTAAGTCCACAGAAGATCCCTTCCCAGGCCCTAGCAGCAGGCACAACTCCCTTCCACGCACTGCCTGATGGGACAGAACAGACTTTGCTCCATACGCTGAACCTCCACATCTTCCTACTCACCAGAGAGCAAATGGCTGCAGACTTGCTCCCCTCTTAAAAATAAGTACATTTGTTTGTTTTGAGATAGTCTCTCCATGTAATTCAGGCTGGTTCTGAACTCACTACGTAGCCCAGGATAACCTCAAACTAGAAGTGATCCTCCTGTCCCAGCTCCCAAGTGCTAGGATTATAGGAGTACACCACCACACTCGGCATGAGAGTGTCTTTCACCTTTCTGCTTAAATTAACAAGACTTTTGACTTGTTCTAAAACTTGTCAACAATTTTCCAATCTTCATGTATTTACTTCGCTTACCAGTATCTCTTTGTAATACTTCAAATTTTTACCCCAAACATGTCTTTTCTTACTTCAGAGTTTTGGTTAAAGTGATCCTTCAAGCTTACAGCTCCAGGTTATTGCTTCCTGGAAATGGTTCATCCTAAGCCGTGTGGACTGAGACACGTAACTGGCTACACTGGCCTGGCCCACACTCACAGCAGCTAAGTGTGCCTCTTACACAGATGAACACTGCACTATTTTTCTTTCTTTTTTTTGTGCTACTGGGGATCGAACTCGGGACCTTGCGCTTGCCAGGCAGGAGTTTATGCCACTGGGCTATCTCCCGGCCTGAACACTGCTTATTATCAAAAATGTGTTCCGGGGGCTGGGGAGATAGCTCAGGATAATAAGCACCTCCCTGGCAAGTGCAAGGGCCTGAGTTCAATCCCTGGTTCCGCAAAAAAAAACAACTTTCAGAGTCTTTCCCCAGTTAGTTATTTTGGCAGTTTTTATGCCTGGAAGTAATACAATAGATCTAAACTCTTTGAATAGTTAATTTATTTTTCATAATAGTTAAAATAGGGGCTGGTGAGATGGCTCAGTGGTCTAAAGCACCTACTTAGAACAAGCTTAGCAAAGCACAGGGACCGCGGTTCAATCCCCCAGCACCACATGCCAGCCAGCCCCGCCCCCTGGTGGGCTGAGCTGGCCACACACACACACACACACACACACACACACACACAGAAATAAAATTTAAAAAAATTAAAAATAATAATAATAGTTAAAACAACTCAAAATATAAACCATCCTTTTCATGTTTAAGTATAAAGACAGCATAACTGACAATTCCAACCTAATGTTAACTATAAAAAACAGATAAAACAGCAGGAATATAACTTTTTCTAAATAAAACATAAACCAAGCCTGGTGGAAACCTCTAGAATTAAAAACTGTTGCTCTTGTACTCTTCCACCCGTATCTGTGTGGCCCTCTGGGATGTTTCCACAGCTGCTACAAGTGTATCACCTGTATATGTGGATGTCCTTGCACCTCCCGATGCGATCGCACCATTCTTGGGCCTTGGCGTCCATGACTGGATTTAGGTCATTGTCATAAAACACCACGGTATCTGCCTCTACCAGGTTTATGCCCGTGGCACGGCTGTGGGTGGAGAGAAGGGCACAGAAAATTCGCCTGTCCCTGTTGAAACTCCGCATCAGCTCCTAAGAGCAAACACAAAGCCTCAAGTTAGTATATCCAGAGAACGTGGCGACCACAGTCACATTTGTGTTCATCAACTACAAGTCCTTCGGTAACACAACAGGTCTGCATGACCCACAAGGTGGGGCCTCAGCTAACACGACACCAGAGCCCTGGAATCTTCCTCTGGCTCTGCATGTGTGCATCTCCACTGCCTCCTCACCTCCAACGCCCATGTGTCCTGCTCAAGCAGTGCCCAGCAAACACTCCAGCTTGCCCTTCCTGTCAGCACAGTCTGTAGGCCCCACAAGAAAGCAGAGTCTTGCTGGGGAGGGAGATGTGCTTTCTCATCTATCCTCAGGCAATGCCAAGGCACTTTACAACAAAAGCCCCTGGAGTAAGGCTGAGGATGTGAGGCATAACACCATGAAGGGCAGTCCCCCACTGTCACCCAGGGCTAAGAACTGCAACTGCAACACGGTCTGTTCTTCTGCAACTTCCCTCTATGCCAAAAGAAAGCCAAAGTGTTGACCAACACTCCTTCTTCAAAAAGCTCTCCATACAGTAAGCTTTGGTATGCTGTTACCAAGAAACTGGCTCACTAGCACACTGGCATGCTTCATGTGGAACCCTGTGACTTCCAGGGAACAGTGTGGGCAACATGGGCTCTGCCCTCATCCTGCTCTGCACTTAGCCCAAACAATGCAGCCTGTGGTGTCCTGAGGCACCAAGCCACACAGCCACAGGCACTCTTCATTTACTCCTCCTCCTGAGTGCCCTGACTACAGATCATTGGGAAGACTCTACAGTGAACACTGTGCATACAAGCCATTGAGTCCTGAGTCCCAGGCAACACCACAGGCCAGCTCGGAGGTGAGTCACCATGCTGTCACCCTGCCATCTAGAGGGCCTGGATGAAGCCTGTCTCTACCAGGACTCTTCCCTTAGCAAAACATTTGATAAGCATCATCTGAATGCACATTTCTTTAAATAGCATCATTTTCCCTGCCTGTCTTTAGTTACACGTCAGTCTATCTGCACTCATATTTTTTCTCCATAACCACCTCCCAAATTATGCCAACCCTGGCCTCTAGTGACTGCAGGTCCTGACTCTTGTCCTAAGATACCCAGCTGACGACAGAGCTCATCTATGCATACACAGGGAGAAGAGGCCTGCTATAGCTCACACTGCTAGAAGCCTCTTTTTCTTGGAAGGGCCAGGGTATCACTGAATTGACATGGTATTTCAGACTGGGTTAAAATCTGGTCACTCAAGTGCATGCAACGGAAACCCAAATGACACCAAGGCAATTTTTCACTTACCTGCCGTTGTTCGCTGTTGGCATTTTCATCAATTCTTATATAGGTGAGATAATGAAAATTCAAGAACATTTCTAATATGTCTAACATAAGGACCATCTGGGACAAAATCAGCACCCGACGTCCTTCAGACTTCAGCTTCTGAAGCAGGATTGCCAGTGCTTCTAACTTTCCTAGGAAACGGAAGGGTGATGAGCTATCTCTTAGTCTAAGCAAGCACGGCCCACCCCTGAAGAGGCTGCCGACAGGCCTGGGCTGTACCTGAGTCAAACTGCACCAGCCTCAGCTCGGGGAACTGCAACGAGCGCAGAGTGGTCAGCTGCCGCAGCTGCCGCAGATAGGGGGCAGTGTGCTCTCGCAGGTGCTGCTGCAGGGCCCGCAGTCTGCGGCGGTACCTGGCGGGCGGCCGGGCTACCCACAGAGAGGGGGGCGCAGCTACCACAGGAGGAATCACACAGGCCACCCTGAGAGGCAGAAGGAGGGGTCACCACACGGTGGGCAGGAGGCTCTGGGGCTCTGGGCTCAGGGTGGGGTGCTGACTACTGTCTAGAGCAGCAGCCAGGGCGCCCACGTGGCCATCACAGGGTGGCACCACCCTTTCTAGCACACGGGCAGACTCTACTAGTCCTGGCCAGCGACAAGCACCCTAAGAACACAGCTAGCCCAGGGCACACCAGAGAGCCCTGGCCTGAACGGTCAGCACAGAGACCGCCCCATCTGCAGGGACAGCTGAGAGACGGCTACTCAGTCTGGGGCTCACATCCAGCTGGGCATGTTGGGACAGGGACATACTGTCTCTTAGAGACATCCTAGAATGGCTACAGCCAACTATCAGGGTTGGTGAATGACCCAGGACGAGGGGACCCTCCAGGACAGGCAGGACAACGATGTTACAGCCAACCTGACATGGCCAGGGGTGCCCCTGCTAGAACAGCCCTTCCTATAGATGGCTGAAGCTGGGGTTTTGATGACTTGCTCCTAACTGTATTTAAACTGAAAAAAATCTGCTCTCCAAAGAAAGGAGCATTTGAGCAAGATGCCCCTGAGAGCTTGAGGCTGATGACCTACTGCACACAGACCAGAAGTCACTTCTTGGCCTGGGATGCGCTGCAGGACTCTTTCCTTCCAGCCAGTCACTCCTGACCTGTGCAGTCCGGAACGGGCAGACCCTAAAAGCTGACCAGGCTTAGGGCAGCAGGGCCTCCCTTTGGACAAGAAGTTAGCAGGAGAAATGTGGCAAGCCCAAGAAGGAAAGAAACTACCCTGAAGCCAAGGAGAGAATGGGACAAGCATGCAGGAATGGTAGGCAGGTGGTGCTCTATACGGATGCCAGCCGAGGCCTGCAGGAGCACAGCCCATGGGGCTTTTCCTCTGATGTCAGCCTGCTCTGGGTGGAAAACCCCGGCACTGCGTGAGCCCACATGTGTCTGTCTTCAGGACATGTGTTTCTGAAAGGGCAGGATGGAGAAGATGTCTGCAGCACAGGACGGCCATCATCTATCTGGGCGCTCCAGGCAAGGGTGAAGACACACACACAGTCTTGACTAACATACCTGTCAAGAACATCTTGGAGAGATTCCTGGCGTTGATTCAGGGTCAAAATCAGACCTCCCTTACTTTTTGAGGGTGATGGGTAAGAGCTCGATGGCCATGTGCCCTTCCTGAGGCTGCCATCAAGACACAGTTGCCAAGGCATCCTCCCTCTGCCAGGCAGGGAACACACCCCCAGCAAGTCTCTGCCGTACACCGGAGCCCGGGAACAGCGTCGTTCGTTGACAAAGTGAATCTGATCTAGCCGTTCTTTCAAAAGTCTCGTCTTTTCCTCCTTTGCCAAAAATGGGGAAATGATGAAAACAGTTATTCAAGAAGCGCAGCACATTATCCCCCTCATCAAATGGGTATTTCTTCTGTGCAGCATCCATGTCCACACCCAAGTTTCCATTTCTATAGGAAGAGCAACCCACGAGGCAGTAGAAAAGCCCGGGTACTTTTTCCCAGAAACACAAGCTCAATTCTGATGCCCAAAAAGCCTTGGAAAGAAGCTACTGGGAAAAAGTCTTGAATCACACCTCTCAGCTTCTTGCTCCCTCCAGCTTAACTTTTTCATTAGAAATATATATTTTTAAAAAACAAGATCCTGGGCCAGAGATACAACTCAGGGGCCCAGAGCCTGCTTGGTAAGTCCAAGGTCCTGAGTTTAATTCCTGGTACCAAAATAATAATGATAATAATAACAATAACAACAACAATAAATAAATAAATAAATAAATAAATAAATAAAATCAAGATTCTAAGCCAGGCATGGTCACACACACCTGTAATCTCAGCATTCCATGAGGCTAAGGCACAAGCATCATGATTCTAGCCCAGTCTTAGCAGCCGAAACCCTATCTCAAATTAAAAAATATCTTAAGGGAAGCTGGGCATATATCCCAGCAAAAGGTCTTGGGCTCAATCTTCAGTACTGTAAAAAATAAATTAAAAGATATTATCAAGATTCTGCACTTCCAAGAGGACGAGCACTTCTGTGGTTTGCAACAGAATGAGGACTAAGGAGCCATCAGTCCACACGGTACGCAGCTTCTGCAGACTGCTCCCTACATGCCCTGCGCTCCCAACTCAACAGCACATTTGAAAGCTTGGTGCCTTACCTGGGTTGGCCCTCCAACGGGAGAGGCTGGCTTGGAGGCCAGCGCAGACTCTCCAACAGACATGGTGTTAACTGCCACTCGCCCAGGAACACCAACTACAAATACAAAAACAGAGCTGGGAAAGAAAGCCACAGAGCTAGGCATGGTGGTGCACACCTGTAATGCCAGCACTCAGGAGGCTGAGGCAGGAGGATCGTTGTGAGTTTGAGGTCAGCCTGAGCTAACAAAGTGACTTTAAGGCCAGCCTGAAATGCCTAGTGAGACTCTTGTCTCAAAAATACAAAAAAGAAAAAAAACAAAAAGAAGGAAAGCCAGAGAGCACAAGGACTGGGTACAAAGTAGGGTCACGAGAAACGTGAGGCAGCTTGAGGTGAGTGCGCAGCAGCTGGCTCCCAATTCGCCAGAAGACAAGTGGCCAATTCTTGAGTGGAGAACCTTGCACAGAGAGGCTGTCACCATAAGGGTGCACAGCTGGACTGCGCAACACTAGAGGGAACGTATTGCCCACTGGAGGACCCTTCCCAGCACCCAGGGGGTGGCTGCAAGGTGGGGCTAGAGCTGGGGCTCTGGCAGGGAGGTACACCAGCCACAGCGCTTCCTTTTGTTGCCACACGTCCAACCTGCCCACCACCTGCCCTTGGACACAGCATATCAGGCAGGGCAGAGCCCGTTGAGGAGAAGCCAAGAGCGGGCAGGACCAGGAGCTGGGAGGCCAGTGGCTCTGGGGCTTTGGCCAGCCAGAGAAGGAGCAGAGCCCCACACATGCAACAACACACATCCCAGCCTTGCCAGGGAGCTCCAGGTACGACTGCTGCTCAGTGTGTCTGTGACACAGCAGCGAGAACACTGCTTCATTCCCAAAGCTGCTCTGCCAACCAAGACCAAAACAAAAAGCCAGGATGAGTGCAGACAACAATGGCCTCTGAGAGCAAAAGAGAAAGACAGCAAACCAAGGCGATACCACAAGCGCTTGTGGCCATCAGGGCAGGGTCCTATGTCATAGCAACAATGTCACAGTGAGGTCCTACAGCTGAATGCACAGGCCCTGGGCCACTCAGAGGAGAGAAGGCCAGGAAGAAGCTCCCTACAGGGTCCACCCCACCCCCCTAGAATACCCTACCTTGTGGGGTCAGGGCTGTGGGGCTGGGGCCGCCGGCTGGGGGCTTGCTTCCCAGGGCACCATGCACAGCACCTGCCTGTGACACGGTCTGCATCACTACCGGGCCAGGTGCACGCAGGTAGGGCTGCCCAGGGGCAGATACAATCTGGAGGACGCTGCCTGCAAACACACAACCCAGGGGGCATCAGTCCCAGGCACATGTGTGTTACAGCCACACAACACTGGACTTCCAAACAGCTCGGCAACAAGCCAGATGGCAAACGGGAGACGTGAGTCCACTGGCACCTATCAGTGCAAAGCTCAGCTACTCGAGCAGTCTGGTGATGTGGTCTCCAGGAAGGCACAGTTGACGACCGCCTGCTCTGCCCACGTCAGCAGACCACCACCGCTGCGGATCACAGGGACGCTCTCCCCACCCCCACCCCCACCCCCACCTGAAACTCTGCCCAAAGCAGGACAAATGTTGCTGTCAGCCAAAGGTCTGGGAAGTTATGGCCTGCAAATTAAAAACTCTAGCCAGGCCCAGTGGTGGCACTGACAGTTCCAGCTACTCAGGAGGCTAAGAAAGGAGGATCACTTGAACCCACAGCTCATGGCCCAATATGAAATTCCGTCTCAAAAAGAAACTGTCTGCATGTAAAAAAAAAGTAACTTCTCTTATACAGATGGGTAGTCCCTGGCACTTCTTTACACTTCATCTACCACCAACATTGTTGCAGCTTGTATCTGCACATCACCCCAGGCCTCACAGGTGGGCTTCCGGCACGGGCTGGATCTAGGGTGTGCGATGCTGGGAGTAAGGGCGTGCGGTACGAGATCAGCCCATGGACTGGAATCAGCATAGCTCTGTGCATAGACAACGGGAAGGCCCACCCCCAGCACCACCCAAAAGGCTCCTAGCCCGGACGGGATAAAAGCGAGGCAGGCTTGCTGCTGCTGCTGCTGCTGCTGTTGCTGCTGCTGCTGCGGCTGCGGCTGCTCACGGCCTCCTGCCTCACTGCCACGGGCTGCTCCTCCTCTGCCAGCCCCCTCTGCCATGCTGCCTTGCCCTGGCGCTGGATCACTATGAACTGAAACCTCTACAAACTGGGAGTCAAAATAAACCTTTCCTCTTTTAACCTGAGTGTCAGGTATTTTTGTACCAGCGAGCAAAGTAACTGAGACAAACACTACAAAGCAACAAATATTTCTATCCTGAGCTACAAAACATGAATCTCTTTTCAAAGAGCAGATGCTACTGATAAATGCCTGTCATTTCCTTAGTGCCCGCACAGCAGGCAGAATGCCATCCCGGTGGTCCCCAACAGCCCCTAGGGTATGGATCTTAGTGCTCTACCCAGGGAGGCAGTGCTTGGATCTCAGAGCCCAAGTTCTCCCCACGTCACCCCACCTCCCACCTCATCACCATCCCTACCTTGCAGCTGCAGGGGCTGGCCTGCCGTGAGCTGCCGCAGCTGGCTGTGTGACAAGGTGAACTTGTTCCCCTGGAACTGGAGAGTCACGGGCGTCTCTGGCTGAGCAACCCGGCTCTGTGGCCCCGTGATGGATGCCAGCTGTGCTATCTTCACCACCTCCCCACCTACGGAGATGCGGAAGGGAAGGTGAAGGCACTCCATCTTCAGAAAGGCCTGCTGCTCCACCACCACTGTGGTAGACAGTGGCTGTGTGCAGCGAGCTGAGTGACCTGAAAACATTCATCAGGTGTTGCTTTCTACCACCTAAAGAAGTAACTTGAAACAGAAGAAACTTAAAACTCACACTGGAATGGTTACAGTCTACTCAACCCTAACTGGTAGGACTTTTGGGTACCAGATGTTAGCACAACTAATCAAATTATTAAGGGATATCTTACTGCCCTCCCAAAACAACAAACATCGAAAACAATACAAATCTGCCCAGTGTGCTGCTAACGCACCCTAAGAACCCCAGCATGCAGAAAGCTGAGGCAGGAGGTAGAGGCCAGTCTGCAGCCTGGGCTACATGGTATCTCAAAACAGAAACAAAACAAAAAGACAGCAAACATCTGTTTGCGATAAACTTGTAAACTAGTACCAGCCTCTTCAGAGAACGTATGTATGTGTCCAGTTTATCTCACAGAGGCAACCAAGATTGCATCACTAGATACAAAAGCTTTGTGATGAATACTTTTGATTACACCATAACTTTTTAAAAGTCTAGGAATCTTTTTTAAATACATTATACATAAACTGCAGGACACAAAGTTTCATGTGAATTCAAATCAGACCATAGGATTCAAACTATAAGCATTACTGTGAATGTGAAACTTTACATCATTTAAACTTTTTAAACAATTTAACTCAAGCGTCAGAGTTACCCAACTCCAAACAACCTGTAACTAAACAGGAGCTGAGAGCTTTACACCCGACAATTAACGGGCAAGTTTAAACGGGCCTGGAGAGAAAGTCCAAAGTCCACGCCAGAATTAGTGACACCATGAAGGGAACAGTTAGTGAAGACTGAAAAACATCTGCAGATGACTTGCCCACAGAAAAGCTGTGAGCAAGGAGGGGAGATGAGAATGAGGGACAGAGGTCTGCACAGAAACACCAACCCCTGCTAGGCCGCCGCAGCCTGACGTGAAGACCCGCTGAGGTCAGACGCACTTGCATCACGTGCCCCTCCACCACGACGGGTGCCTATCGGGCCTGGGCTGCGCTGTGTGAGGGCTTCCCCTGGGCGGTGCCTAGCTCACCACTCCTCGCTTGGGCAACAGCAGAGAGGCTTGCACTGAGGGGTCTCCCGGAACCTGGCACCGCCCGTCTTCTCCCTTCCCACTTCTCTGAGAACGCCTCCAGGACTTTGTTATATAACAAATCGGCTACCTGAGGCACCATCTGAGAAATGCTTCAGCACCACAGCATTGCACCTGAGGGTCGGTTCTACAGCAGGAGTACAGGTCACACTTACGCTAGTCAGACTGGTTTTAGTAAAAAGCTCTATGCTGGGGAAATAACGTGTAATGCTGACATCTCAGACCCCAAGTTACTTCCAAATGTCTCTGCTGAGCAAGCATTCGCTCCAGTTCAAGCTGGTGACAAGAGAGACCACAGGCGCGAAAGGTGTCTGGAGACCTGATGCCCACTTGTGGGCCTCAGGCTAAGGGAGGACCCAGCTAATGCCCTTCCACATGGCAGCAGGGCGCAGCTGTGGGGGATGGGGGAAGAGGAGGAGAGCAGAGCCGGTGGAGAAAAGAAAGAGCAGAAAGAGCAGGGCCCAGCGCTGCCCTCTGGCGGGCGCCAAGCTCCATGCAGCACTAGGACCTGGCAGAGGGACAGACAGAGGCAGTGGACAGCAAAGGCTCCTCAGACATCCCGAGTTCCTGACAGCACGGGGCCACAAGGCAGCCCCTGGATGCGAGGCCACTTACTGGGCAGGCGGGCCTGAGCCTGTGAGGTGAGCACCAGCCGCTGGGGCGGCGCGCTCTGCCCAGCCGCCAGCGAGGGCGCCTGGGGTGGGGGCGGGGGCGGGCCTGCGGCAGAGGCCTGGGCAGCGGTCTGTGCCCGAAGTCGCGCAGGGTGGGCTGGGCCTGTGGCTGTGCTGGAGGTCGAGGCTGGCTGGTGTCGAGGAGCACTGGCGGAAGCCTGAGAAGTCTGAAACGGGGCTGCTGCCGCTGTAATCAATAAGGTTGGTTTGTGCAAAGCTGTTAGAGGTTCTCATAAAACGCAACACTTCACAGCCGAACTTTAAAGAATTACACAGACATTACTTCACAAAGCTCTCAAATGAAAAGCCCTCTCCTAAAAACCACGGAGAGGCTGATCATGTCCCTGGAGTGAGAAACAGCCCGCCACCAGCGCAGCTGAGCTGCACACAAGGCCCTTCTTGAAGAGGAGGGAGGCTGAAGCAGCCCAGCCAGCCACTGTCACTGAGAAGTGTAGGCGCCATCCATCCTATCTTACAGACAAACCCTGCGGTGTGGTCTCGTGTTGGCTTATCTCAAGTAGACATGACACAGGATACCCGACACAAGGACCTCCAGCTGCAGGCTAGACTGCCTGTTAGGATGTTTCCTGCCATTTCACCCTATCCTCTCCAAAGTAATCGTCAGTGAAGTCGAAACGATGGTACAAACTGTAACAAGAACAGACTTTCTGGGAAGTTTCCCGAATGACTTTGACATACACAAAGGAAAAATGTTCTGCCGTCATCATCATCAACACTCATCTCAGCTGGGAATGGTTTCTTGTACAGAGAAAAACCTAGCGCAAGAAAGAGAAGGCATCCAAGGCCTTGGAGCTGCACCTGGAAGCCCTCCCCCACCCCAAGCCTCCCACAGTGCTGAGGGTGACAGGTGCTGATACCTTTCATGTCCGGGTTTGCAGAGAATGTGGCAATAGGCGGCCGCCCTCGAACCGGGCCCTGTGGGGCAGCAGCGGTCGCATTAACGTTGGCTGTCCGGGGTGGATGTGTGCTGGGGAATGCCACGGTACGACCTTCGGGCTTCTGGCCATACTGCACAGGCTGGAACAACCTAGACTCCCGTTGGGCAAGCAGGAAGACACAGAGCTCAGCTAGCTGCAGAAAACCTAGTTCCACAGCACCACCCTGGAGAATAGTGTCTGGTCCCCAGCTTCGGAAGGGCAGGCTGGAGAGGTGGGGAGGGGTCTACAAGCTGCTCCAAGAAGCTCACCATCACCCCTGTGAGCTACTAACAAACTCTGCTCGCAAACCTGGCACAGTGACCCCAATTCACAGTTACCCAGAGGCAAGTATGTCCCTGGGTCTTACGTACACAGCCCTGTGAGACAGAAAAATACCTTTGGCACAGAACGCCCATGTGACTCTAGCTTAGAGGAAGAGCCAAGTGGGGAAAAGTCACCCTATTTTTTGTTTTTATTATTTTTTTAAATTTATTTTTGTCTTTTTGAGACAAGGTCTCACTATGCAGCTCAGGCTAGCCTTGGACTCACTTTGTAGCCCAGGCTGGCCTCGAACTTGAAATGATCCTCCTGCCTCAGCCTCCCAAGTGCTGGGATTACAAGTGTGCACCATGGCTCCTGAACACCCTGCTGAAGCAGTGGGCGAAGAGGGTGATTCAGAAGGCGGTCGAGGACAACAGGGCCTATGAAAGCCCTGCTCAAGAGCAGGGACCTAATGGAGCACACTTTTTTCTTTACCTACAAAATAGTAATGGTAGTTTCCAAAACCCATTCATAAAACAGCAGGCAGAGAAGCCACCGAAGGCCTTCAGCAAAGCCCAGAAAGCACAGGCAGACGAATCCGTGCTCCCTGGGCAGTGGGCAGAGGGGACTGGCCCTTGTCTCAAAAATACCCATTTATATTTTCTTTTTCACCCAAATGCAGGATTTTGCTTATTTCTTTGCTATTTTTTACCTGTCCTGAGTCCTTTACATTACAATTTCATCATCTAAACTGTCTCTTCCAGCCTCATGTCCTGGACCGGTGTACAGTGGCCAGCGTGGTCCTTCCACCTGCTTTTGTCAGCGGCGTACCCTCACGACACTGACTTCTGGCCAGGGTATGACAGCAGCACCACAGCTGGCACCAGACTGAATTCAGCCCAAAGACAAGCAAGAAGAGCAGGAGCAGCCACGCTGTGCTACCTAGTGGGGCCTGCAGATAGTCCTGCCTGCTCACCGAGAAGCTGAGAGCCCAGGGAGACCAGCGACAGCCCAGGCCCAAGGAGGGGCCTAAGCCCACAGCCCGGGGGCGCTCCGCAGGGCAGGGCGTGGGCGGGACTGGAGCACACCACTTACAACTCATTCCCACATACCTGCTGGCTTTCAGCTTCACTGCTACTGGCCGGGCCGGCGGAGGTGGGGAGGCAAAGATATCCTCCATCAGCTTCCGAGTCACCTTTTTCTTAGATAGCAGCTCTGCCTCATGGCGAGTGATTTTATTTTCTAATCCGATGAGGTCAAATATAGAAAGATCAGTTTCCTAAAGGCAGAAAAGCAAATGTTGCATGACGTGTAGCAGCAGAGAAAAGGAAGCCTGCTACAAGGAGAGGCCCTGGCCTGAGCAGCTCCAGAACAGCGCCAACAGCCCGAGTGCTCTCCTACCCTGGGCAAGCAGGCGAGGCGCTGGCGTGGGGAGAGAGGAGGAGAGACTCAGACCCACAGAGCAGGAGGGAGAGTACAGCAAGATGCAGCACTTCCGTCCGCCAGGAGCCAGTCCTGCCTTGGCCAGATCAAGCACTCACCATCCGACACCACCACCCTGCTTCCTGGTACCGGGATGACGAGAGCAACCCTCCTCTACCAGCAGGCTAAGCGGCTCAAGAGGGTTACTGGCCCAGGAGGGAGGTAAGGTGCCTGGCTGCAGAGGAGCCATCGGCAGCAGTGTGAGAGCCAGAAAAGGGCATGTGACCCACAACTGCACGCCAGGGCGCTGCTGAGGGCACAGGATCCATGTGCACCCGCCCTCAGCAGGAGTGCCCTCAGCAGCGCCACGCCACTCACAGGAGCCCAGGAAGAGTGGAAGAAGGGTAAGCACACATGGGCCGCCACATGGGCAGACACCAACTAGTCTTCAAAAGGCAAGAAGTCCCAGTGCTTACTACACACAGGGTGCACCCTGGAAATGCACTACCTAAGAGGAGCCAGTCACGTGGAGCCAAGGGATTCCACTAGAGAATGTTCGGAACAGGCAAACCAGAGAGAGAACAAGGGTGTGGAGATGTGCAGGGCAGGATCTATAACGTGCCTGGGCAAGAGGTGCAACAGCAACAGCTTCTGCACACTCACCTTCCAGAAATCTCTCTCTAGGGCCTTCAGGATCAGTGAGGCCGACCAGTACTGCAGAGCCGCTGCCACGTAGGAGGAGTCCGGGCACCTTGGCTCAACGAGTCCAGGGTGGTTGCAGATGCGCTGCAGCCTCATCAGGATACTCAGCACATTGATGAAGTGCCCACTTTTCAAAGCCTCTTGAGTCCTGCACAGGGGGCATGGGACATGAACTAGGCTAGCAGCTGAAGCCTAATGCCCACACAGGCTTCCTGCACCCACTGTTCAGGTGTCCCTCGATAATAGGACACCATGCCTCAGAAGCCACCAGGACAGGGAGGTTCAGGTATCCCGGGGGCCATGAAGGGTGGAGGACGAGCAGAGGTAGAGTGGAGTGAAGATGCCCTGCTCTGCATCTCAGGGAAGATTCAGAAGGGTACAGAGAGGTGGGAGGCATGGGCAGGCATGGTGGTACACACCTGTGATCCCAGCACCTGGGGAGGCAACGGCAACAGGATCACAAGTTCAAGTCCTGCCTGGATAAGTCAGTGACTTACTCAAGACCCTGTCTCAGGGCTGGTGAGATAGCTCAGCAGTCTAAAGTACCTGCTCAGGCAAGCTCAGGCAAGCACAGGGACTGTGGCTTGGTTCCCTGACACCACATGCTGCACCAGCCCCTCGTCCTGAGGGCAGGCTGGAGCAGTCACACGGTAGAGGGAGATCACTGCCAGCCCAAGAGGTGAGGTTCCAGAGGTCAGGGCCCTGCTCCAGGCCCGGCCTACGAACAGGAGCTCAGCATAGGCCAGAGCACGCACCTCCTCCTGAGGCAGTGCGCAGCACTCACCCAGGCTGCAGGATGACGTCCTCGTACAAAGCCTTCTGCCGGCTGGAGAGGCGACACTTCAGCACGTGCTCGTACTTCTTTGTCAGCTGCTTCTCCACATCTCTCTTTGTCCTCCTCAGAATGAATGGCTGTGTCACCTGAAGAAAAAGAACAACTGTTTCTCCCTCAAAACAAAGCGGCAATGCCTTGGCAGTAATGTCAGCACCTGAGTATGGGAGGAGAGACGTACCCTGTGCAGCCTGATGACCACCTTGTGATAATAATCCTGGTTCTCATCGCTGGGCGCCTTCAGTGGAAAGCTCAGGTAGGGCCGGGAGATGCCGGGGATGAGGAAGTGCACCATGGTCCACAGCTCCAGGAAGGTGTTGTGCAGGGGTGCGTCAAGCAGAAGCAGGCGCTGCTGGCTGCAAGGACAGCAAGCAACGCTAGGCTCCCAGCCACACCCCCCCAGTGCCCCACTGCTCTCTAGCTAGGCTGGAAAGGGGCGAGTTCAGCTCCAGGAGCCAACTCTGTGCACTCACACCTCTGTGGACCATGAGGGTAAAGGCAACTCCTTGTGGCTAAAAGCAAGCATGCATGTGTCTGCAATGACTCTGCTTCTCCTAAAGAGGAGGATGCAGTGACTACAGGTTCCCCGGGCTGCATGGCAGTGACAACACTAAGGGGCAGTCGGACCTCTGTAGGTTGAACACTGCTTCCCAGTGCTGCTCCACCATGCCCTTCACACGCTGCATCTCATCGATGACGAGGCACCTCCAGCGTACACGGGAGAAGGCAGCGTAGCCCCTGAAGAAGTGCTTGTAGGATGTGACACAGACGTGGAAGCTGTTCGGCTTGGTCCAATCCTGCGGCACAACAAGGAGCTCATCACCTGGCCGGGTCCTTGGCAACCACAGCCAGTTCAACAGGGCAGCGTTCAGCATGAGGCCACACTGCGCCACGCTCACAGGCAACCCTCTACTCTGAACAATTTCTGTTACTGCACAGAAAATGGCTTGGCTGACACGCTTCTCTTCTCCCCTCTTCTCGCCTGAAGCAGGCATGTCCACCCAAGAGCCACGCTGGCCCTCACAGCTAGTGAGGCAGCCCTGCAAGATGGCAAACTCCCAACTTGTGCTTTTCCATGATGTTCTCATGACTCGGCTGCCGCTCAGGTGACAGCAGAGCACTACGGAGGGGACAGCAGTGCAGCCCAGGCCGCCGAGGGCTGGGCACACACCCAAGATGCTACAGCTTCTAGGGAGGCACTGACAGCCACCCACAGAAGGACTGTCAGAGAGGGAGCTTCCACAGCACCTGATCTGAGCCAGGAGAAACTCATCAGGAGGTAAGCTGAGTATCTAGGCCGCAACTGACGGCACTGTGGCCTTCGCAAGAGCAAGTTAGTAACAAGAGACAGGCTATGATCCGGACATTCCCCCCCAGATCCGTGTGGTCCACAACAAGGAGTGGCTGTCTCTGCCTCCCTCCCCAGTGGTCAGGACCTCCAAAGGGCCGCAGCTCCGAAGTGACGCCAGGCCCTCACCCACAGAGCTGCCTGGGCCCTGGCCTTGGGTTTCCAGCACCCTGAGTTGTGAGAGAGCTTTGCTTGTTTATAAATTACCTCATGTGCAGTATGGTGCCACAGCAACACCAAGAGACCAAGACAAATAGAAAATCTAACTCAAGGTACTAATGTTTTAGTAACTAGGACTCAGTGCTGTCTAACAGCAAGGCAAAATCTTACACACAAAAATCTGTGACCAATATATACACCCACATAAGACCTAGCACTATAAAGCACAGGGGACAAAAGAAATTCATGGGCACGTCACATTCTGGCGAACACTCCCGTGGAAATTATTCTCTGGGTCCGGAATTCAGCACTGGGGATACAACATAAACAAGCAGCCAGGCCCAAAGTGGAGCACACCCACCTCGGTCCTCTATACTTTCTAGGGACTCACAGTTGTAGTCACATGAATGAATAAGTCTTCACATTGCGAAATTCTATAAATACCAAGACGGCTTTCTGTTTCATTTCATGCTTTAAAAAAAAAAAAAAAAAAATTACCTGTCTCTTTGCTTTGAGTTCTCTGTGGCTGCCAACATAGGAGAGTGTTTTGAGCCCAGGACACCATCGTTTCAACTCCAGTTCCCACTTGAGTATGTTGCAACTTCTTACAACAACAAGATGCGGACCCCAATTACCTACAAAAGAGCAAAAACTGAATTTCCCAGCCACCACTGAGGAAGCTGCCAAGTCCAGGCACCCAGCACCAGGGCCAGAAACTGAGCAGCAGCTGTCAGAAAGAGCCTGCGCACAGGGTAGACAGGCACTTGGAGAACAGGCTCTGTACCACCCCACCCCGCTCCCCAGCCATCCCCCGCCCAGTACTGGGTACTAGGTCTCCACTATCCTGCTGTAGGGGAGACCCCTGTAAACTTCTGAAACAGCAGGCACCTCTGGACGAGCACTCACTAAAACCCCTAAGCACAGTGATCCCAATCTAAGCCCAGAGGACATCTGCAGCACAGTGAAAACCCAAACAAGGCCAAGCCCCCCAGCCCTACCCAAGGGCTCTGGCGGGCAGGTGCCCCACCCACAGCATTGCCGAGAAAGTGTTCCTTGGGAGCATGCGACAGTCAGAGCACCCCTAAGCCACCAAGTGACTGTTCTGAAAGCTCACACTGTTAAGATTCATCTCAGTAACAGGCACAGTAACAGATTTCAACCTCTGCACCATACATGAAGCTGCAATCTGCTGAAAGAACCAGCAAGCTTTAAAGACATTTTCAATGACTGCATCAGCAGTCATTCCTGTTCACACACAGAGCACTGCCACCAACTCCAGAAAAGGAACTAAGGATGTTAACAGAAATTTCACAAACAACAATACAAGCGGACCATAAAGCCTTCAAAGCACAGCCACACAAGTGAGAAAACACCCTTTAAGTCTGGGGATCTGGCTCAGCAGTAGAACGCTTGCCTAGCAAGCTGGAAACCTTTGGTTTGGTTTTCAGCATCAAAAACAAAAAGATAAACCTCAGCTAAAACACAAATACAAAAAAGAGAGAGGAAAAAGGAAAAAACAAACAAAAAACCCTCAAACAAGACAGGGTTCTCTAGAAAAGAGGAAGCAATTAAAAAGCCTAAGTAGGTCTCCTCTCTGTTCTTACACAGGGAAACGTGACTACGGACCTGTGTTGAGCATGTCTGTTAGCTGAAAAGGCAGGGCAGGACATTCAACAGGCTGTCCCTTCAAAAAACAAAATATGAAATAAAAAGTCCAGCATGGGGCACATGTCTCTGGGAAGCTGAGGCAGAAAAACTGCAAGTCTGAGACCGGCCCGGGCTTTACAGCAAGTTCAAGGTCAGCCTGGAATACAGCAACCCCGTCTTAAAAAGAAAAATCAGAAACAGAGGGGGTAGAGGGACGGAGAGAGACACACAGACAGAGACGAGGATGAGTATGAGCCAGCACAGCAGCACACAACTACTGTGGAGGCTGAGGCAAGAGGAGGGCAAACTCGATTCCAACCTGGATGACTTAGCGTGACACTGTCTCAACTCACAACAGAACATGCGGGGATATGGGGAAGCATTCCCTGGATTCTCTCCACAGCTGCTGCGTGCCAAGGTCTGGGAAAAGTGGCTGGCAGGGTCTGTCACCAGGCAAGCCCTGAGGCAAGGGACAGACTCATGCACGCAACAAAATAAAATCCCTGGGTTTAGAAACACAGACTTCTTCCTATCTTTACCATGGGCATCTCCGTTTTCCAAGGTTTCAGTTACCCAGCATTAACCATTGTCCAAAAACATGGAACTAGGGAGTTTCAGAAACACACAACCCTGAAGCTTAACTTGCACACTGCTCTGAGCAGCCCTCTGCCCAGCCGAGAGCCCCTCTAGTGATAGTCATCGTGCCACACTGCCTGTGTGCACACAGCCCTTATTCATGTCTTAACTTCACGAGGCTGGTGACACAGCTCAGCCATGCATAGACACTAAGGGGAGCCGTGAAGGCTTTCTGTACGTGGAAAGGGGATGCTCTCAACTTGGGAAAAGATGTGACACATGCAGAGAGTGGTCCTACCCAAGGTTATGGCACCCACTGGGGCTGGGGCCACGTGTGTCCCCTGCACAGACGGGAGATGACGCTGCTGTAAATGTAGTAAATGCTAGCATTTTCCCCATCTGAACATTACTCAGTGAGGCCGGGTGGTTCTTTTACCCTGAAGGAAGTACATAAATACAGCTACTATAAAGTACTATATTTAAAACTACAGTACTAAAAAAAATAATAAAACTACAGTACTGAAAGAGGTCAAGGGGGGAAAGCAAAGAACCTGGAGTCCATCCTCTGTGTGCACCTAAAGACTGAACACAGTGTCCAAGGCTATCCCAGCAGAAGCCACTCCCAAACCAGGCTCCATCTCCCCATCTGAGGAGCCCCACGAGGTGGCTGTGTCCTTTGGGCCCAGTGTCACTGACACCCTGCCGCATGCTGACCCTGTCTCCAGCATGCCCACTAAGGTTCTCAGATGCCAGCAGGGCCAGGCTGTGTCCACTCCCCTGACACAACAGCAGCACCTGCTGCGAGTCTGTGCCTGGCAGCAAAGGGGACACTGCTGACAGAGAAGAACAGCAAGTCCTCTCCTGCTAGGCAGGAGGAATGCATGGGGCATGCCCCCTGCCCAGGTAAGGCCATGTGCTAGGCCTCATCCAACAGCTAGGAGTGGACAGGGCACTGATCCTCAAGACTGGTAGACTGGAGGCCTGGCACAGGACACAGAGGCACAGAGGCTGGAGGGGAAGAGGCAGGCGTGAGCATGCGGGGCCGCCACCCCCCCCACACACATCCACATCACCTGCCAGGCTGAGAGCCCACACTGCTCCACTGCTGCTCACCCAGGCGCAGCACGAACTGCTGGCCACCGACTCCTCACACTGCAGGGTGACACTTCTGTGAAATAACTCGCTTTTACTTAAAGTCTCACAGCAGGGGCGGGTGTATCGCATGAGACTCTAAGTAAAAGTGAGCTATTTCACCTAATACTTGTGAGACTAACAGGCATCAATGAGAAAGATGGAGTCAATACAAATGACATAAAAAGAATATGGGCAGAAGTAATAGCAGAGGGCTGGAGAGATGGCTCAGTGGTCTAAAGCACCTACTTGAAACAAGCTTGGCAAAGCACAGGGACCGCAGTTCGATCCCCCAGCACCACATGCCAGCCAGCCCCGCCCCCTGGTGGGCTGAGCTGGCCACACACACACACAATAAATAAATGTAATAAATAAAAATAAATAAATAATTTAAAAAAAGCAACTAATTTAAAAAAAAAAAAAGAAGGAATAGCAGAACACCAAATAACTTCAACCCAATTAAAAACACATGGGGGGGGGCTGGAGAGATGGCTCAGTGGTCTAAGGCACCTACTTAGAACAAGCTTGGCAAAGCATCAGGGACCGCGGTTCAATCCCCCAGCACCACATGCCAGCCAGCCCCGCCCCCTGGTGGGCTGAGCTGGCCTCTCTCTCTCTCTCTCTCTCTCTCTCTCTCTCTCTCTCTCTCTCTCTCTCTCTCTCTCTCTCTCTCTCTCTCAAATAAATAAAAATAAAAAAATAAAAAAATAAACACATTTAAAAAAAATTAAAAAAAAAATTTATTAAAAAAAAAAAAAAAAAAAAAAAAACCACATGGGGGGAGGGGAGGGCCCACTAGCTCAGCTGTTCAAGTGCCTGCTTCAACAAAGCAGTCAGGCTCAGGTTGCTGTGGTTCGAGCCCCAGAACTCAGGCCAGCCAAACCTGCCCTGAAGGCATTCGGAGACAGTCAAAAAAATAAAAAATAAAAAAAATAAAATCCTAAAAACATACCAAGACATATAATAGTCAAGATCCAAGAAATCCAGCACAAGAATAATATACTGAAAGCCGCTAGAGAAAAGCAGCAGATCACATTCAAAGGAAAACCCATCAGAATTACGGCCGACTTCTCTTCACAAACCATGAAGGCAAGAAGAGCATGGAGCAGAGTACTTCAAGTCCTCTATGAAAACAAATTCCAGCCCAGACTACTATACCCTGCAAAACTCTCCTTCAAGTTTGATGGAGAAGTGAAATACTTCCATGACAAATAACAACTGAAGAATTTCATGATGACAAAGCCAACCCTATTTCAACTGTGAATGAGCTTTATGTCTCTATAGTAAACTTCTAAAATTTTTCTTTCTGTTTATTTAGATACAAAGTCTCGCTACACAGTTCGCACTTGTAGTCATCCTCCTGTCTCAGCCTCCCCAGCGCTGGATTACAGGCATGTGCTACCACATCCAGTTTTGGGAAAGCATGGCTCGGCCAGGATTCCAGGGCCAGTACAGCATACGGTACCAGTACCTGCCGGCGTATGGTACAAATACCAGGGATCAAACTTGGGACCTGGAGCTTGCCAGGTAGGTGCTTAGACCTCCAAGCTAATCTCCCCAGCCCTAAATTTTTTCTTTCTTGAAACAAGGTCTTGCCATGCATGCTGCCAAGGTCAGCCTTGAACTTCTGGGCTCAACCAATCCTGACTCAGCCTCTCAAGTAGCTAGGGCTAAAGATGCCACTACCTCGCCCTGAGGTAACGAGTGCTTCTGAGCTACACTCTGCACAGGAGCAAGAAGATCAGAAGGCCAGCTTAAACACTCTATCAGACACACACCTGCTACTAAGCTGAGTGAACATGCACTCCTCCAGAGAACCAGAGGCCTTACCTTCATTACAGGCCAGGTGAGCAAAGAGAGCGATGATCTGCACGGTTTTGCCGAGCCCAGCCTCGTCAGCCAGGATGCCATTGAGGTTCTTTCTGTAGAGCTTGGCCAACCAGTCGAGGCCAATCTTCTGGTAGTCTCGGAGGGCACCATACAGCAAAGATGGAGCACTGAACTTCACCTGCAGGAGAGACCAGCTAGGCCACAGCTGCTTGCCAAGACGACCACAAAACCTTTCCTCATGGCTGGCCCAACAGCAGGCACCTGGCCATCCCTGCACCCAGGAGACTGAGGCAGGAGGACTGCAAGTCCGAACCCAATATAGCAAACTCGGTGACTTGGTGAGATCCTGTCTGAAAATTAAAAATAGCTGAGAACACAGCTCAGTGCCTAAGCCCTGGGTTCGATCCCCAGTGAACCCTCCATAAACTAGAAAGCCACATGACACACCTATTAAATAGCCTCAGATGTCTTAGAGGAACAGAAGACAGCAAAGAGCTGCCTTTCATAGCACCAGGAACACAAGAGCACATCTGGGGGAAGGCAGAGCTCCCTTGAAACCTGTGCACTAAGCCCCACCCCAACCCCAGGCCAGGCCAGTGCCTCACCGCAGTTGTGACTCGGGCACTGCCCTTGGGCAGGATAGCTTCAGCCACAGCAGTGACCTCTGCGATGTCCTTGGTGTTGGGTTTGCTAACACTCATCCTCTCTGCAGCTTTGAACTGGTCCATGATAAACAGAGAGTCTATGAGCACCAGGTCCCGGCGGGTCTCCCTGTCCCCCAGGCAGACGTCCACATCTGCAACAGTGAGGAGACAATGAACAGGGCTGTTGTGAGTTTTATGAACCTAAGCCTTGAGAAGGGGAAAAGGGAAACACAGTAAAACAAAACACCTAACAGAAGTAATCATTCTCTGTGCTGTTTTTAGTTTTGGGCCTTTGTGGTATTGGAAACTGAATCCCGGGCCTTTGTACTGAGCTACATTCCCAACTTTTTTTTTTTTTTTTTTGTATTTTAACTGTGAAACAGACAGAATCCCAGGTTGGGCTAGAACTTACAAGCCTCCTCCTTAGTCTTCTGAATGCTGGGATTATAGGGTATAGAACCATTCTGGCTTTGTTTTCCATTTTTAAAAAGCTACTGTTGATAAATGAGCACTGTTGTGAAATACCATAGTTAAGACCGTTCTAGAAAGATCTCAGAACACAATGTGCCAATTGCCTGGAACTTAAGAAAGGGACCCAGTATCGTGCAGATTTATAGGGGACTCAGGCTTAGTGATCTCTCCTCTAATACCACCGAGAAAGGAAAAACTAGACACAAGGAGTACCCTCCCTGACACCTTGCTGAGGGGTCTGACTCACTGCCACCTCTCCCATGCACCTGTGTCCACCACTCAGCACAGGACAGAGCATGTGCCTGGTTTCACTTTGCGCATCTGCCCAAAATGTCTGACGCATAAGCAAACTCCTCCAAACACAAGTGCTACACGAATATGGCGCAATCAGTATAAACGTGACCAAACTGAGGTCCGTAAAACAACGACTTGGGCCGGGAGGCGGCTCAGTGGAACAAGCGCTTCCCTGGCAGGCGTAAGTACCTGAGTTCAATCCCCAGTTCCGCAAAAAAAAAAACAATGACTTAGAAATAAGGTAGTAAGAGTTCCAAGCCGGGTTGGCTGGTGGCACACTCCTGTAATCCCAGCACTCTAGGAGGCCAAGTTAAGAGGGGTGCTGCAAATTCAAGACAAGCCTGGCTGGCCTACATACCAAAGTAAAGGTCAGCCTGGAATATACAGCAAGACTCTGATCGCAAAAAAGAAAAATCGAAGATAATAGTAATAAAATCCAATGAAATAAAAAAAGGACTTGGGGGGAGGGCTGGCTAAATAGCCCAGCGGAGTAAAGCGCCTGAAAGCAGGCATAGGGGCCAGGGGTTCAATCCTCAGGCCTGCTGTGCTGGCCCCGCCCCCAGGATGCGCTGAGATGGCAATTGAGACTGGGCGTGGTGGGGCGCACCTGTAATCTCGGCTCTTGGGAGGCTGTAAACAGGTGGATCACTACAAACCTGATCTAGTAGTGAGACCCTGAATGCCCTGTAGACCCTTCCCTAAAATACAAAAAAAAAAGGACTGGGGACATAGCTCAGTGCAAAGGCCCTTGGTTCAACCCTTACAAATACACACACACACACACACACACACACACACACACACACAAATTTCTACAACCATCATAGCTGGATCAAGTGCTCCATAATAGCACTTTTTAGGCCACTAAGTAAGAAGCACAGAATTTTAAATCTATTCAATTAAAAATTACATATTAAATACACTGCCAATTGTTTCTTTTATCAAACTAAATCCTTTAGGGTAACCCATGCATGCTCGTTGGCTTATGCTGCAAGAAACACACCCTCGTCTCCGCTTGACTCCTCCTTGACAGGCTCGGGCGGGGTCCACTGGAAGCCCGGGAGGAAGGCGCCTTCATACAGCTTCACCAGATCCACGAGGGGCAGCTCAGCTGCAGAGGCAGGATATTAGTGCTGGCCCACCACACTGCCTGGACGCAGCAGGAAGCAGCCAGAGCGCAGTGGGTGGTGCAGGGTGCCAGGCAGCTGCGCCCCAGCCTGCCACATGGCTTCGGGGAACAGCACAAACGACTGCTCACCCCTAGGGAGGACTAAAAGGGGCTGAAGTCTTCAGGGGACTGAAGTCTTTCTGATTAGGTTTTCAGACTTTGAACACTTGTAATTAGAAAATCTCACATGCAAAATACTCCAAAATCTGAAGCTTTTGAACATCACTTTCTTGGTGCTCAAAATGTTGGATTTTAAAGCATTGGGACTGGCGACTTTGGGATTAGGGATGCAGAACCCGCACATCCTAAAAGCACATTAACGTCTTCTAAAAACTAAGATGGTCATCCATTACTGAGACCAGATCTGAGTATTTTCCTTATAAACTAAAGACCTGTTAAGGCTGGATGTGGCGGCTCATGCCCATAGTTCCAGCACGTGGGAGGCAGGGGCAGGAGTATGAGGCCAGACTGTGCTGTGCAACAAGATCAAGGCCAGCCTAGCTACACAGCAGGACCCGGTCTCTCAAAACACAAAATAGAACTAGCTGAGCCGGGAGTGATGGTCCACGCCTCCTGAGGCAGGAGGTTACTGGGAGTGCCGGACCAGCCTAGCTACAAAGGAGCTCAAGTCCACCCTTAACTACACAAGGAGACCCTGTCACAAAAAGACAAAAAAAAAAAAAAAAAAAAAAAAAAAAAAAGACTAAAAAGAAGTACAACTAACAGAAGATAGAACAGCGTAACACTTAAAAATACCTGATTAATGCTTAAAGCAAGCATAAAGGGGTGAATAAATAAAAAAGCGTATTACATGCTGTCTCAAGAGATACACTTTAAATAAAGAGCCCGAGTTAGAAGGGAACAGAGTGTATCTCTGGAGGAAGCTCCACACTGACAGGACTAGCAGTCATTAGGAATGCCCACCAACTGTTAGCCACAAAGCACAGAAGCCAGGACGTGCAGGGACAGCTGGACGGGGCCTGCAGACAGCCACACACAGAGCTTCCTAACACGAACATAACGCCGACAGCACACAGAGAAACTGCAGACAAGAGATGTGAATAAGGAGCAAGAAGAGGGCAGAGCTAAGGCTCAGGGTGGCAGCAGGCCCTGGCTCTACCCTCAGCACCAAAAAGAGAGGGCTCCTGGAGGCCAGCTTGAGTAACAAGAGATCTGAAACTCGGTAGACAAGTTATCCACAGCAGGAACAGCCTGAGTTCAGAACAGAGAGCAGACCTGTGCACCTCGTAACACAGCCTCAGAACAGAAAACAAGCCTGCCAGAAAGAGGAGGAGCAGGTTTCCGCTCCCAGGATGAGAAATCGACACACACCTGGGCCAACGGTGTCGGTGGTGGACACCTGAGGGACACTGACTGTGAGGCGTGACTCAACTGCTGTGAGCGCAAACAGCTCACGCGCACGTGGGTCTGGAAGAAGCTGCCCCAACAGGATGCAGAAGGGGAAAACATAAAAGCCGCCATCTGAGCAAGATTAATGTGCGTTAGTGAAAAGGCTCAATCTCAGGCTGGGCTGTTGCTCAGTGGTAGAGCACTTTCCTGGCACCCATAAAGTCCTGGTTCAATTTCCAGCAGCACAAACAAAAAGTTAAAATAAATGGCATAGATACTTAAAACTTAGAAAAGGGTTCAATCTCAAAAAGAAAACTTAAATGAAACAAATTCTGAGCAATTTTTAATACTAAACTGAATACCAAGAAAACAAGAAGCCCTGCACTCCCATCTAATCACCTATGGACAGAAGTATGGTCTCTGATCCCGACAAGGTGGCCCACATCTGCAACTCCGTTACTGGGAAGGCTGAGGCAGGAGGGTCACCACGAGGTTGAGGGCAGCCTACACAGTGAGTTCAAGGCCAGCCTGCACTACATAAATGAAACCTTGTCAAAAAACACAACAAAAGGGGCTGGGGAGATGGCTCAGTAGAATAAGCGCTTCCCTGGCAAGCACAAGGGTCTGAGTTCAATCCCCAGTTCTGAAAAAAAAAAAAAAAAATGCTATCCCAAAGGCAATGAAAAGAAAGCAAAGACTGGGAAAGATCAGCACAATACACAAACAACAAAGAAGTCACATCTACAATACAGAAAGCACACAATTCACTAGGTAAAACAAAACCCAACGAACTGGGCAAAGCAGGGAGCAGGTGGTGGCAGGGAAGCGGACCCGCACAGCACCAAGGTGGAGGCCAGCAGTGTGCCCACAGTGCACTGGATACAAAAGCTGTGCACTTGTTGCACGAGTGGTGCTGCCCTACAAGCCAGGCCCCTGGGCACACGCAGAGCACAGCAGCAGGCCACCACGGCAACTAAGGCGCAGCCATAACACCAAGATGACCGGAAACGCCTACGTGTGCAATGCTGCCGAGCAGAGAAATCAACACTCCCAGCAGTCTGACATCCAGATAAACTCTGCTGGGCGCTGCCTCACACGAAGATGTAGGGAAAGAAAAGCCATGAAGAAACAGAGGGTGGCCAGGACCCTGGGACAGAGGGGCCACAGCAGGAGGGGCCTGGGAAGCTCTTTCTTCAGCTACAGGACACCAATGGCCACGCGGGTGAACACCCCCACATGGTGCTGTATTTATACCTGAACCTACTTAATGTTTAGTAAGTATGACTTCCTACAGATCCCAACGGCCTACCTTCTTTGGCCAGATTAGAGAGCTCAGTGTGGTGGTCTACAACCCCTTCGTGTGCCTCCTCTTCTTCAATGGTCTCCTCTTCGTCTTCCACTGAAATGATTGACACTAGAGGTCAGGGACACGTGAAGCTCCACTGCTACTATACACCTCCAGGCTTCGAGACTCTTACAGAGCTGAAGTGAGCTCTTTAGATAGTCGCTTTAATCTAGACATGGTGGCTTTTACGCGAGCAGGAAACGGGAGCATGGTGCCCCTCCCATGTCAGGCGGTAAACAACAGCCTTGGTTCACTGAGATGGCATAGGTCATACCAAGCTCACACACAGTGGCGACCTCTTAGCACAGTGGGGCTGCACAGCGGGAGGGCTATACAGTACAGCTGCCTTCCTCAGCCTTCTTGTTGCATGCTCTGCAGATTCCACCCAAACCCTGTAGCTCTGACAACCCGGATCTGGGCTTTTGGCAGAAAAAGCAGCACCCCCAGCATCCCAGCAGCAGAGCACCTCACATGGGTGGGCCAGCTCTCAGCCTGCTCAGGGGGGCTGCACAATCCTCCCTCAGCAGCAGTCCCCTCTCAAGGACTCCTCCAACTGACATCTGTGCTCACCACTGCATTTTCCCTCATGAACACACACACACAAGCAGAATAATACGGGCCAGGGAGACAGCTCAGTGACATAAGTGCCTGCCTGGCAAGCGTAATGTCCTGAGTTCCATCCCTGGTGCTACAACACAACATAACACAACACAACACAACACAACCAGGGCAACAGCTCTCCATCTCTAGGCACAAAGTGCTCACTCCTTCCTATGAATCTTCACCACCCATCAGGGCTGAAGGGGCACCTGCTGCCAACCTCATGGCCCCCAGGCCCCGAAGCTTCCTGCCCACACATATCGCCCTGGCAGCACCCACCTGGAAGTTCGTTCTGCCCCTCCTCTGCCCCTCTGACTACTCCAAGTCAGAGCAGAGCAATCAGGAAGAAGAAAGGGGAAGTCCAAGTGGCTAAGTTAGTTTGCTCTGAGTTCTACTTAGGCGTCTTGCTTTAAATAAAATTTGGTCAAATATACGAGTCTGCTATGCTGGCCCTGCCCCCAGGGTGTGCTGAAATGGCAATTGAGATTGGGCATGGTAGTGCGCGCCTGTAATCCCAGCTCTTGGGAAGCAGTAAACAGGTGGATCACTACGAGTCTGATCTAGTACTGAGACCCTGACACCCTGTAGACCCTTCCCTAAAACTAAAATACAAAAAAAAGTCTGCTTCAGTATCTTTTTTTCTAGGTACCGGGGATTGAATTCAAGACCTGGCGCTTGCCAGGCACTTAGGCCCCTAAGCTATCTCCCCAACCCCTGCTTCAACATTTTAATTTGCTCCCTAGAATGTGAGAAAGTTAACAAATGTGGAAAAAGGATCCTCCACAAACCATGAAAAGGCCACCAGAGTCCAGATCCAGAAAGTGTGACCCTGGTACAGAAGTGAAGCAGTCTCTTTCCAGGTGACAAGAAATACACGCAGCACTGCTGCTACCACTGCCCAGGAAGGTGGAGTACCCACAGGGACAGGGTGACGTCAGTGGAGTCTGGAGCAGAGTATGGGAGTTCTCACCGGTGGAGCAGATGTATCTCTGACCGTCCTTTCAGGACCAAATGCAAACACTTGGTGCCTGGTGTGATTTGTTAAATCACTGCCCATCTTCCATTGGACACTCCACTACTTCAGGGGCAGAGGACCTGCGTTGGCCAAGGGTGTGCAAGAGACGCAGATGGAGAACGGCATATGCCTGCAGCTGCAGTCTAGCGTGGGCTACAAAGTGGGTTCAAGGCCAGCATGAACTGCATGGCAAAACCCTATTGAGAGGGGAGGGGAGGAGA